TTCGCAAACGGTTCGCCACGAACGGTTCGCCACGGACTCATCATTGAGTAAACTTTGACCCTGTACCTCACAGTCAGCAGACACATTCCAGCCAATCAGCAGCAGACCCTCCCTCCCAGACCCTCCCAACTCTTGGACAGCTCACTAAGAATGCAGCTTCACAATAAAATGGATGCTGTCCAGGAGGTGGGAGGGTCTGGGAGGGAGGGTCTGCTGCTGATTGGCTGGAATGTGTCTGCTGACTGTGAGGTACAGGGTCAAAGTTTACTCAATGATGAGTCCGTGGCGAACCGTTCGTGGCGAACCGTTCGCGAACCGTTCGGTATATCACTACGCTCATCATATATCCCAGAGGCGGGGATCATACCGCTGTATGCTTACTGCACTAGAGCTAATATAAGCTCTATCAAATGTGAGTGGATCTACTGTGAGTGGATTTTTTATCTATTTTTGGAACATACTGCACCATTAGTGTTTTCATTTTATTCCCCCCCGTCTGTCTGTTACTGCACCGAAGAGGAAACTCACTGCATATCCTACAAGCGGGGATCATACCGCTACAAGCTATTCACACCAGAGCTGGATTAAGCTTTACAGAAAGTAAGATCTCTTGTATTTATATGTGATATCTCTGGGATCACCCTGTACCATCACCCTTTTCATCACTCATCGCCCTCTTCCATATATTCGAAACCTGCTAGGAGCGGAACCCTACAAATCTAGAGACCAACCTAGGATCCAAGTTCCACTATACTGGACTCCATTTTATTATTACTACCTCAATTAGGACTTTAATTTATTTACCTTGCCTATTGGCGCAGTCCCACCCCTCTGTTTGCTTTTTTATATAAGCCTTTGAGGAGGTGATGCTTTACTGTAGTTCCGTCAAAAGTCCTTCTTGGTGTTCAAATAAATTAGGTTTTGATTGAGGTAGGGAGTTCTGCTATTGGCATCTCATGTAACATTTAAGCAGAAAAGAAAAACCAATAGTTCAACACAGTATGTTCAATATCTCAATAATGTGAAGAAAAAGAATACACTCACAAGGATAGAGCCCCCCAATCAGCTCTTAGATAAGGCTCTGAGTGGTATAATTCCCACTCAGGGATGAAACTGGAATTTTTCTCTTTGAGTTTTCTCAGTGGAAGCGGCATATGAAAGACTAAAAACAGGATATAGTGCTAACTGTTTCAAACCAATAAAGTGTGTGGAAAAGTATGAAAATAACTCACAATTTTAAGAGCACCTTATGCTCAATGATATCAGCTTAGGTGGAATGATCCACACCGAGGATATATATGAGTAGAGGGAGATGTAATGGTCCCTGGAGAGGTTCCTTTAAGATGATAAAATAAATGCAATATAAAAAAAACTAAAAAACTAAATTTTGAGGGTAAAAACAATATTTATTATAATATACCACACACAATGAAATAAAAGCAAATTAAACAGTCCTTCTGAAGGACTTTATGTGGAGCAAACCTGTCAATAGTGATCAGGCTAAACTCAATGAACAGTAGATTTATTGACCAGAATGCTAGTAAATAATGAGGCATTAATAAGCTGTAATCAATAAAATAGTTGAGACAAAATGTAATGACTTTTTTTGATGTGTGTGTGTGTGTGTGTAACCGCACATTTGTATCTTATGAGTCTGAACTTATTACACTGTATTGACTTTACCATAAATGTGTTATTTTTGAAACTACTATATTCCTTACATAAAAAAATTTAATTACTAGAAGAAAATATGTTAAATGTTCAATTGGTGATTTAAATGCCATAAAAAACCTGTCTGGTAAGCTTTACATAATCATTAGATAATGACAGTTATATAGTAAATATGTTTAAGTCCTATTTACCATACATAGTCTAAAATAAAGATAAATGATAGCTTATCATTAGATATTTGGGCCTATATGTAGAAAACATGTCAAATTACTTAAGATAACTGAGAATATATTTACTGATCTCTAAGTGTGAGAAAAGTAAAATTTGGAATTAAAATGAGAAACATAGTTCATTAACAAAAAATAAAAATAAAAATGTAAGTACTCATTACTGAACCAACGTCAAGTTGCGTACATTTCTCAATTTGTTGAACACATAACATCAAGCAGTACCCTAGCAAAGAGAGGAGTTTGCAGATTGCCCCTAGAGATTTTGCGTGATCAGCTGGCAAACAGCCCCCAGAGACTCACAGGTTAAAATATTACTACAGGCATTAAAAAACCACTTCAGTGATTTGAAGTGGCCATGGTGCTTGGCGTATGTATGTGTCAGAGAAAAGCTTTACATACTGACTTTAACAGATTTGCTGCTGGAGGTGTAACCACCTCTGGCAGTGTCATGGAGGAGTCATTATATAACCTGAAACAAGAGTTCCTGGCTAGCTAATGTCAATTCTGTGCATATTTCTATTTCTGTCATTGATGGTCTGAGAGTGGTCAGCTGATGCTCTCAGCCTATGAATAGGGACTAGATCATCATTACTCAATGGTGCCAAAAAGATTGGGATGAAACCAACCATAGCAAAACTCCCCGCAGTGCCAATGGAAAAAAAAATACTTTTGTGGATCACCTGCATATCTCAAGTTGGACTTTAGAAAGTCCCCCTTGTGAACAGGAACTCAAGAAATTATGTTTTGACTACTATCCCAGAGTGTCCGACTTGACAAGCAAAAAAGCACAGACAGGTATTGTGTTTCAGACTTCACTCTGCATTTTTGCAGCTACCTTTAGCAATAGGCACTGTTTTACACAGATTTTTTATTAACCCCTTAGTGACCAGACCGCTTTTCAGTTTTCTTACTGTTTGGGACCAGGGCTGTTTTTAAAAATTAACGCAAGTTACATTGTAATACTGATATCTGTCAGGAATCCCTGAATAACCCTTCACATGTATACATTTTTTTAAAAGAAGACAACCTAAGGTATTAAACATGGGGTATTTTAACTCTTCTCATGCAACCATTTTACCACCAACCTATGCCAAAAAAAAATAAGAATAATTGGTGATATTTTTGACACACATAGCAATTTAAGAATACATGTACTGAGAACTTTAAGGGTTACTGCCAAAGAACACCCCAATATGTGTTCAGCCACATCTCCCGAGCACAGTGATACCACCTATGTGTAGGTGTGTTGGGTTCTCTGGGGGCTAAAATATCTTATTTGGAGAGTGCGCATTCCAGTTTTTCAACTTGGAGTTTTCACAGCTGGTCATCATGCACCCATGTCCTATTTGGGACATTTTTGAAGCCGGCCAATGTAATTTACCCCCATCAAACCATATTTTTTTTAAAAGTAGACACCCTAGGGTATTTCAAATAGTGGAATGTAACACTTTTCATGCACTAATTCTACCACCAGTCTTTATGAAACTTTTGGGAAGCCTTTTTTTTTTCTCTCACATTGTACGTTAGGCATGGATTCTCAGTTCCTGTTATGTGTCACTGACAAAGAACCCCAATATGTGTTCAGCAACATCTCCAGAGTACAATAGTGCCCCAAATGTACAGGTTTTATGTTTTTTTGCAAACTTACAGGGGTCAAATGTAGGGCTTTCCCCTTTTCCATGTTTGCACATTGAGATTTGCCAGATGGGTTTGCTGGGCCTATGTTGCCTTTGAGAGTGTGTAGCAGCCCAGGAATTAAAATTAACCCCATGGACTGCCATTTGTAAAAGAAGACAACCCATAGTATTTAAATGGGGTATGTCCAGTCTGTGGCGAAAGCTGTCTCGCCACTGGACATTGGAGAGGCCTGGCTGCCCGCCTCCTACCTGCTGACTATGGCCCCTTGTGAATTTGTACTTTTGAATACAATATTTGGGCATATGGTATTTTATATTGCTGCTACTGGCACTTTAAGGGCTATCCGTGGACATATTATGACTGTTAGGAACAATGCCCTTTAAGACTGTGTAGCAGATTGCATTCAGGCTGTATTTAATATTATGTGTTCGGTAAACGGTGTTATGTGTATGCAGCATTCCCCTGATTGTTGGGTAGAATCACTCCATTCATTATATTGAGTGAAACTACCGAACAACCAGACCACCCTGGAGTAAGTGTGCCTCCAATTACCGTTTGCAACAATGTTGCAAACGGGTAATTGACAATCTATGTAATGTGTTCTTTGTCCTCTGGGTGGCCGCCATTCGGGAAACGAACACATGGCGGCAGCCATCTTAAACTCCCAAACAGCGGTGTTTTGCCGTCGAGTGTCTGGAACTAAAATCGGACACTCGACTAGGCAAACACCGCTGACACCTCCAGACTTCCATGAATTCATGTGGAAACAACCGAATGACCCGCCGTTCGGTAGAAAGAACCCCACAAACAAGGGAATTCATTTAAACCCTCCCCAGGCTCTATAACCCAGGCAATTCGTGTGTTTCATTCCCTTTTCTGTGACCGACTGCAGGGCAAAAATACATGGAACTATTTTCGGATACTTTTTTTTTTTTGCAGTGCATAAAGACAGTTACACTTTGGCTCGAGGTACCCCAACGGCAGTCCTCTAGCAACTTTTCAAACATAACATTTAAGGTTATTGAGTAACGTGCACATTTTTTATATAATACTTTGATTAACAAGTAGCTTCGTAGTATATCTAGACGATATATATGATTTAGATTTCTTCATTGCTTAAATTTAGCTTTTTGACCACCAGGGAGCAGCGAGTCTCTGAGTTAGCCGGTTAAACAGGCAGGTATGCTTAATAACTTTGTTGATGTACATGTGGGTCTACCGGCTAGGCGCAATTGCACTAGTTCTAGGCATGACAGTATGACATAGTATACTCAGGTATAATAAGGGAGCTTGTGTCTCTTGTCTGGCGCTCCTCGCTTATTTAGGGTTATAGTCCCAAGTGAGTCCCTGCCGGTTACCATGTGAGATGTTGCCTTCAACAATGCTGGCATGAGTTGTGTGTGCAGGCTGGTTGTGTGCTCCTTAGAGTCGTCTGGTAGGCGTCTTTCGGTTCGTTTCTCCATGGCTGCCGCCATTATTCTCCAGCTTGTGATGGACGCGGCGGCCATTTTGGTTTTCACCATGCGGTCTCTGGCTGCTCGGTTCGCCGCTCAGGAGTCGTGGGTGGTCACTGCCTCCCCGGTGGGGTCCGGGATAACCCCCCCGGCCCACGGGGGGGAGAACGGGGCCCTCTGTAAGCGCGTGGGAGGTCCCGCCGGACTAAGCACGGGAGACCGGCCGCATCTCCCGCCAGAGCCTCATGACAGGCCGCAGTTCCAGCCGCCCAGCAGTTTTCATCGCCGGTAGGACGGAGGCCGGTAAGTACACCGAGAGTTGTGCACAGGTCCCCTTTGCCTTCTAGTTGCAGCTGGGTGGTTTTTAAGGGGAGAGGAAATATTTTTAAGCTAGGATTTTGGATTTCATGGAGGAGCTGAGGTGCCCCACGTCCATCCAGCTCGGCGGTCAGGCCCCGCCCCCCCCTTTCGGATACTTTTGCCATGCAGTCGGTCAAAACTTTAACCCTCCATAATTCCCGAACCCCTGGTCCGATCTGGGTGATTTTTGGATATGTGTCTCACCCAGATCAGGGCTACCAGGGGATGTCATATGTAAAGGGGTATCCCTATGTTTAGGGGTACATCCAGTATCCCAGGGAATTTGTGTCTGGACTAATGGGATTATGTGTCACACTAAGGGGAGGAGATGTGTGGGAGGTAACTGGTACATTATTGGCTGGGGTACTAATTGTTGTGGATCCCTCCCTTGCATGGAAGAATGTCTTAAAAGGAGGTTGTGTGAATAAATCTTCAGATTCTGCTTAACCCTCAAAACGAAGTGTCGTCTCGTTATTGGGGGAATTGGATTGTATGCTGACTTCCAGGAGTGTAACCCTTTCATATGGTTTTCCTGTTCGGATATTTCCAGTGTTCATGTGTTTCCAGTTTGGGAGATCAGTGCTTACAGTAGCTGTCGGTGTAGCTGAGAAAGGGGAATATCGCCTAAACGGTTTTTAACCTCTGGTGAGCAAAATGGTCCGTTACACAGTCTTTTTAAGTAGCCACTTAGTCACAAACCCTGGCCAAAATTAGCATTTGTATTTGTTTTTTTGTTGTTGTTGCATTTTTCACACATAAACTGCCATTTCACTGATGATATTATCAGTATAATACATTTTACTGTTCTAAAACACCCATATTTGTGTAGAGTAATGTTTCACACTCTCTCTCCTCTGGTATATTTCCATTGCCCTTCAAACATGCAACTGTAACCCCAATTCTAAAGAAGCCCAATCTGGACCCTAACTCCCTATCCAACTATCGTCCTATCTCACTACTGCCTTTTGCATCCAAGATCCTTGAAAAAATTGTGTATGCGAGATTGACAGACTTCCTCAAGTCCAACTCTCTGCTTGACCCGCTTCAGTCTGGTTTCCGCGCTAAGCACTCTGTAGAAACGGCACTGACCAAAGTATCCAATGATCTACTCGCTGCAAAATCTCGTGGTCACTACTCTATCCTAATTCTCCTTGACCTGTCTGCGGCTTTTGACACTGTTGATCATCAACAGCTTCTTCTCATCCTCCGCAATATCGGTCTACAAGATATTGCTCTCTCTCCTGGTGCTCCTCCTACCTCTCCCAGCGCTCTTTCAGTGTTTCTTTCTCTGGCTCTGCTTCTTCTCCCCAACTTCTCTCTGTTGGTGTCCCCCAAGGTTCAGTCCTTGGTTCCCTACTGTTCTCCATCTATACTGCCTCCCTTGGTAAACTCATTAGCTCCTTTGGCTTCCAATATAATTTCTATGCAGATGACACGCAAATCTAGGTGTCCTCTCCTGATCTCTCCCTGTCCCTCTTGACTAGTGGCTCTGACTGCCATTCTGCTGTTTCTAACTGGATGGCTGCCCACTTCCTTAAACTAAACTTGACCAAAACTGAAATTCTGGTCTTTCCTCCCTCAAGTGTTGTTACTCCTGTGTCTGTCTCCCTCCAAGTCAACGGTGCTACCATCAGCTCCACCACGCAGGCTCGCTGCCTAGGTGTTCTCTTTGACTCCGACCTCTCCTTCAAGCCTCATGTTCAATCTATCGCCAAATCCTGTCATTTTCATCTCAAAAACATTGCGCGCATCCGCCCCTACTTAACGCCAGATGCGACTAAGGTGTTGGTCCATTCCACTGTCTTTTCTCGCCTTGACTACTGTAATCCACTTCTCAGTGGTCTTACGTGCTCCCAACTTGCGCCGTTACAGTCCATAATGAATGCAGCGGCGAGGCTCATCTTCCTGTCCGCCCGCACCTCCCATGCCTCACCCTTCTGTCAGTCCCTACATTGGCTTCCTATAAAATATAGAGCTCAATTTAAAATTCTGGTTCTGGCTTTCAAAACTCTACAAAATGCTGCTCCCACCTATCTATCCTCCCTTATACACAAGTATGTCCCGTCTAGGCCCTTACGATCTGCTGAAGACTTACGTCTATCTTCAGTCCGTACTCCCACCTCTGATGCTTGCCTTCAAGATTTCTCGAGGGCTGCACCATTCCTGTGGAACTCGCTTCCCTCCTCCGTTAGATGCTCACCCAGTCTCCACTCCTTCAAAAAAAATCGCTAAAAACCCACTTCTTCATAAAAGCGTATCAATTAAACTGTTAATAGCTCCTGACTGATTCCTCTTCTGCAACTGTCATCAGTCTAATACTATCCTTACCTTTTTGTGTCATTTTACCCCACTCCCTCTAGCATGTAAGCTTGAGCAGGGCCCTCAACCCCTCTGTTCCTGTGTGTCCAACTTGTCTGGTTACAACTACATGTCTGTTCGTCCACCCATTGTAAAGCGCTGCATAATTTGACGGCGCTCTATAAATATCATAATAATAATAATAATAACACGTACATCAGTACCCCTCAAGTATAGGTTTTATTGTGATTTGGAAAGTTAAAGGGTAAAACATAAGATTTGCCTATTTCTGTTTTTGTAAATTGCTATTTGCCAGATTGGTTATGTTGGCTTTGAGACTGTATGGCAGCCCAGAAATGAAAATTAACCCCACCATTAAACACCATCTGAAAGAGTACACAACCCAGGGTATTCAAAATGGGGTATGTCCAGTCTTTTGTAGTAGCCACTTGGCCACAAGCGCTTGCCAAAATTAGAGTTCTTAATTTTTTTTTTGCATTTCTTTACACAAAAACTGCCATTTCACCAACAATATTGTCAGTATAATATCTTTTAGTGCTCTAAAACACTCATATTTGTGTACATTAATGTCTCACAAGTACAATAGTACTCCTCAAGAACAGGTTTTATGGTGATTGGGAAAGTTACAGGGTCAAATATAAGATTTACAAATTTCTGGTTTTGTAAATTGCTATTAGCCAGATTGGCTATGTTGCCGTTAAGACGGTATGGCAGCCCAGAAATGAAAATTCGCCCCACCATGACATACCATTTGAAAAAGTAGACAACCCAGGGTATTCAAAATGGGGTATGTCCAGTCTTTTGTAGTAGCCAATTAGCCACAAACACTTTTTTTACACAAAAACTGCCCTTTTACTGGTGATTTCACTGTTGTGATAGGTTTTACTGTTTTAAACACTCATATTTGTGTTCAGCGAAATCTCACGAGTATAGCAATACCCTCCATGTACAGGTTTTATCGTGTTTTGGAAAGTTACAGGGTCAATATAGGGCTTGCCCAATTCAGTTTGCCAGGTTGGTTTGCTGGGTCTATGCTGCCTTTTGAGACCATATGGCAGCCCAGGAATGTGAATTAACCCTATCATGGCATACCATTTTCAAATGTAGACAATCCAGGGTATTCAAAATGGGGCATTTCCAGTCTTTTGTAGTAGCCACTTGGCCATAGTTAGCATTTTTATTAGTTTTTTTACATTTTTTTTCAAACAAAAACTGCACTTTTACTGTTGATATCATCGTCGTGATAAGTGTTACTTTTTAAAAACACTCATATTTGTGTTCAGTAAAGTCTCCCGAGTATAACAATACCCCCCAATGTAAAGGTTTTATGGTGTTTTGGAAAGTTACACAGTTAAATATATAGGGCTTGCCAATTACATTCTCTGTACTGTCTGCCTGGGTTGTTAGATAGGTCCCTTAAATTATAATTAATAAAATCAAATAATTATGTAGTTAATAGTTAAATATATATGTAGAATGTTGTTAAGGGGATATGTATTTATAACGTCATTCTAAATGTGTTTATATATATATATATATATATATATATATATATATATTAATATCAAAATACAGTTAGAACAGTTCCAGTTAGAACAAATTTAAAACAGTATATAATTTTTTTTAAATGTAAAAAAAATTGTTCAATTTATTTATTAATTATATATATATATATATATATATATATATATTTAACGCTATTCTAAGTGTATTTTAATCTATATATAATTAATGTTATTCTAAGTGTATTTTAATATTAATATTAATATATATTAATATTAAAATACACTTTTAATAATGATTTATGTATGTGTATATAAAAGTACTTAGATTATATATATATATACACACATATATTGTTACCTTACACTCACCTAGCTGTTCATGTAAAATCTGTTGTTTAAAATCTGTTTTGGTTAAAATCTGTTCGGTTAAAACTACAAACGAAATACAATTTTTCACCTACACACTGACCCCTACCGGCCTTTTGGTGTACTACAGGCTTCTTAGACATTATCGCATTTCATGTACAAACCAACGAACCACTGCATTTTCGCCAAACACACTGACCCCTACCGATCTTTTGGTGTACTATAGGCTTCTTAGACATTATTGCATTTCAGGTACAAACCAAAGAACCACTGCATTTTTCACCTACATACTGACCCCTACCGGTCTTTCGGTGTACTACAGGCATCTCAGACATTATTGCATTTCATGTACAAACCAACGAACCACTGCATTTGCGCCTACACACTGACCCCTACCGGTCATTCGGTGTACTACAGGCTTCTCAGACATTATTGCATTTCATGTACAAACCAACGAACCACGGCATTTTCGCCTACATGCTGACCCCTGCCGGTCAATCGGTATACTACAGGCTTCTCAGACTTTATTTCACTTCTTAAGCAAACAAACTAACTACAGCATTTTTGCTTTTATACTGACTCCTATCTGTCAAACGGTATACTACAGGCTTTTCAGACATATGGTTATTCCCCTCATAACATTCCCACTATAATTATAATTACACAATAACACTTCCTTACAACTCATGCTTGCTATGATATAATCATTCCTGCATACCTGCCTACATAGGCATTAAG